TCACAAGGCCTCGTTGCGACACGTGCGCTGCGGCCCTGCGGCCTTTTTCCACGACCACTAGTTGAACCCAAATCACGAAGTACGCACCACACCCACACCCACGTCGCCCACCCACCCATCCACCCACCTGAGACGGGCGTTATAAAAGTACGGCCGGCCCCTGCGTGCGGGTGCCGGCAGGCCGGACGACTCGTACGCCCCGAGTCCCGGCAGCCAGTCGACCCTGCATTCGGGTCCTGGCACCAGGGAAGCTGCCGCAAACCCTGGCGATAAAGGGCCCGGGCCATGGCCACTGCTGCAGCTGCTTGCTGATCTGCCGGCTGCTGCTGCTGCTGCTGCTGCTGACTACATAATGAAAAAAGTAAAAATACGGTGACAGGAGGTGCAAAGGCCTGGGAAAACCCATAACCTCTACAACCCCGGCACCCTAATGCACGCCTTAGCTTATTAGGCTGAGGCGCATTACTAATCTATATTAAGATATTTAAAACAGAGTAAATAAATAAGTAAATAAATAAAGCGGAAATATATATCATGGTTCAGCTTTATTTATTCATCTATTATTTAATAAGGTGTAGCCTCCCCTTAATTAGGTAATCCCCAAACAAATAAAAATCAATTGTGCACAACCAGGGCTGTGGGCACCACAAACGAAAACACGACAGACTGTACACGCGCGGCAACAGCCGTGACCGCGCACACTCGCTGATGCTGGTTGTTGGCTGCTGGCTGATAGCTGCATAGCGTAGCCCATTTAGGCAATATAACTGGCTGCAGCTGCTGGCTGGTTAGATAACGCTAGCTACCATCCACAAAACCCAGCGACGACAATAAAACCGGCCGGTCACCACCAACTGTCCACCAACTGTCCACCAACTGGATCAACATCTGCCAACCTCTTCCAACCAAACATATCTCCAACGGACAACTTCCACCATGACAACCATATTTCTCGACCCGATCCTCCATATCTTTGGACTCCCTTATTTTCCTGCTTTGAA